ATCAACCCTTGACAAGGGGATCTTTTTCAACAACTTATGAGGGTACACAAAGAGAATTACAAATTCTCTTCCTCAAGGGAAATAAAAACAATACTCAGGAGCATCAAACACCGTGGTTGGATCACAATACTCCTCTTCAAATATAATTTGTTATATGGTCACAAACAGATTCCTTTATGAGTTTTTCTCAAGAGCATGGAGCTTAACCTCTATACTCCCATAAGCCTGACACATGGAGTAGATAAACTATTGATCGTGTCCTAATCAACCTGCATAAACCAAATGCCTCCTCTTCCATATCAGGAGTAGGTTCCAAACAAAAAGTATTCATAATATTTTTGTTCAACACCCAAAACGTCTGTTCTTCAACTGGTAGTTGCATACCTGCTGAAGTAATGTTCTAACATCCCATAGAGCATCAGTTCCTTCTTATTGGAACACACCATCCTTGACAGTCTTCAAAGTCAATATGCAGATGTATATGAGCATCATTGATCAATTGATTCTCATCAACCTTATTGATAAATGTCTTTATGAGTGGACTTGAGGAAAATCTCAAGTATCTTTGACACTTTTAATACGGTTGAAAATGTCAGCATATATTATGTTGAGGGTAACAACCCTAGTATCCTTCTCATACTTTCAGGGTTATATGCAACGGAATATAACAAACTCCTCAACAATATTCAGACACACCACTATCCAAGTACAAGCATGGCAACCTAGGATTAAAAAATAAACCCTACAAACAACAGCTTCCCACTAAGTTACAGGCCTGATGGCAACACCCAGGAACACTACCTGTCATATATAACCAATGATCCTTGCCAAGAGATCATCCATACAATAGTATGAATTGTCCAAGTTCATATCTCTTTTCAGTAAATACTTTCTTCCTTGCCCATGACCAGAAAGTATCTTCCCGGAATCTCACCCAGAACATAACAAGATGCTTGCTCTGATACCATTTGAAATTCTGGTACAGCAGACTCATATGTCCTATAAGGATGTCAAGACATCTGATTTGACATAACACATAGACAAGATAAAATAGTACTGAAAAGATAAAGAACACACTAGAATTGTTTACCCAGTTCAGTGTACAACAACACCTATTCTGGGGGATACCAAGTCAGGAAATAAGTCCACTATTAGTAGTATCAATTTGAAGATCCAACAGCCAATACACTCATTGACGATCTACGCACTTAATCACTACCCAATGACCCTTCTACCTAAGTCCTCCCTAGATGTGGAATATCTCCATCCCACTTCCAATCATCACAATGATATCTAGCAGTCAACACCCCAGTCACTGTGTAGATGGCCCTTTACCAAGATTCTGATCACACAGATAAACAGTTTAGAAGACATACTTCCATGACAACCTATCTAAGTCTCTAAGTCAAACTCCACTGTTTGTTAGCTTTGCTCCTAACACATCCTGGAGTTGCTTCAAAGCTTTCTCCAAGAACAATGCATCTCTTACCTACAGGCTTCAAGATGAACATGGTAACCTTTCCACAATCGGGAGGTTTACCTTGACAAAACCCTAGATTTCTACATCTTTAGCCGTGTGTTTTCTAGGTTACAAAACCTTCTATTTATAACCTGTTACCCAACTGGTTTTGGACCTTCAATCACAACAAATCAACTGTAACAAACTGCTGAAACTTCTGCCCTAAGAAAGGTCTTCAATCTTTACTTTCCTAAATAATCTCCTTATTTAGAAAGTCTTCATTCTCCTTGATTTCTGATTGAATTTTCTAGACCTTTAAATATGCGCCACATAAGATGCATAATATTCTCCTAAATATTATGCCAATATTGAGAACAAATTGAATCTCATTAATCCAACTCAGCAGGCGCGATGTCAAGACATCTTCTTCGACATGTTGTTTCAGTTGTTGAAAAAATTCAACACAACATGTTATGACATTATAATAGGACTTCTTATTGTACATGTTCTTCTTAGCAAGTTTATACATCATATTCTACATTATATTATTGCTTCTATTATTTGTTTTACAAAAATTAAGTCAATCCTAAAACAAGAGAACTAACAATGTTCTATAATAAAATTTAATATTTTTTCTCATTTGATTTTGGATATGGTTGCAGCCATATAACATGCTTCATGGAGGTGTATCACAATTGATAGCAAAATTGCTAGCAAGTATTGGAGCACATATTGCTTGTGGTTATAAATAGGTTGTAGGAATTCAACTTCGTATCATTCATTTGAAATCATCTGTGATTGGTGACTTCATCCAGGCTGAAGCCACATCTTTGACAGTTGGGAAATTCATCCAGATGTTGTAACACTATAGTCGCCGAATTAACCACCATAAAAACAGAGACCAATTACTACCAAACAAGTCATCGTAGAGAAGTGGAAAGGAATATAGAGCCAAACTTCAACAACCACCAATAAATTATTTTGAGGTTTGTTGTGTTGAAAGTGGTTTTGGAAAGAATGTTAGTGTTGGTTCTGTGACTACTCCACCTTCTACAATTCCTATAACAGCAATAACAATTTCTATTCTTATTCTTGCATCAAGATAACCTTGACTTTGAGTGCAGTGTTTGTGTTAATGTAATAAAAGTTCAAATTTGAGTTACGAAAATTACTTTTTACATACGATATTTTATGTTGAAAAGTATTATATCCAACAAAATTAGACTGTTTGTCAAAATTCATTTGAATTAATTTGATTAAGTGAAATTGATTTCATCAAATTGATTCTAAAAGGGAGTCATTTATGCTTAGCCATTATGTTTCTAAAATGTTTGATGTAAAACACATAAAAAAGAATATGTATTTAATTTTAACTTAGCATAATTATTTTAAGGAATAAATAAATTTATGATTTTTCTAAATATTATAAAATTTATTTTAGTTTCTTAAAAAAAATTGAATTGTCGTATTTCATTATTAATATTAGTCTATCAATTAAATTTAACTAATTAAATACAAAAAAAATAAACACATGAATTGATGACCAATCTTTACTTGAAAAAAAAGTGAATATTGTACGTTAAGGGACCACCACACACAACTTTCGATACTTCACCAATTTCGAAGAACCATCAGTTTCAAAGAACCATCGTTTTCAACACTTATACAAAAAGATTGCATAAAAAAATACGAATTACATCCACTTTAAAGGATTATCTTTGTCAAGTAGATAGAATATTTTATTAATAATAAATTAGTGTTGAATAAAATTTAAAACTGATAAATAGCAGCAACAACAACAATTTAATAATTTAAAGCTACTTATTTTAATTAGCATATTAAAATTAAAATTTGTAAATTTTGAAGTTATTATACTAAAATTATAAATAATTCTCTATAACAAATATTTAATTTGACTCCCTGATACTAAAACTTATTAATTCATATAAATTATTCATAAAAAATAAATTAAAACCACATCGGAAATCAAATTGATATATTTTATAAATTTAAAGTTTTAAAGTTAAATTCAAGTTAGACCGCAATTGAACTGATTAAAATAAATAAATATTTTTTATATTTATATATATAAAAATAATATAGAAACCTATATTTTTAAAATAATAATAAAATTTATTGATAATTTCTTACTAACTTCGTATAATTTTAAGAGTAATGGATCCATGGGTAAGTAGATTTAGGGATGGTAAAACGAATCGTTCGTTTTGCATTCTGTTTTAAACGCGTTAAAACAAGAGTTGGATGAGTGAGATCGTTAAACAGAAATAAACATAAAAATCTAATTCGTTTCATTAAAATGACGGGTTGGCAGACGACGAGTTTATTCGTTTACTTTTTTATTTTTGTATTTTTTTTTAATATATTAATATATTTTATTTTTTTTTAAATTTCAATTAGACTTTTTATTTATTTTTTAGAATAATTTTTTGTAAAATATTTTTTTAATAAAATTTATTTTAAAAAATATTACTAATATTCACAAATAAATATATAAGATAAAACTACTAAAAATTAAATTTACTAGAATTAATTAAAAAGAGTAGACTTAAGTTGAGACAAGATAAACGAACAGGTGCGAAGCATTTTGATTTTGACGGACGACGAATTTTGATGGAAGACATTATTTAATAAGGCAGACTTTGGTAGAGGCGAGTCCAAAATTTCAATCCAACCCGTTATTTTTTGGCAGGTACGCAGATCAGTCTTGACTACAGCCCATTTTAACAACAGTTAAGTAGGTCCAAAATCTCAACTCAACTCGTTATTTTTTGGCAGATACGCGGATCAGCCCGACAGACTGCAGCCCATTTTACTTAATGACCTAATTCATTGTATCTTCGGAGCTCCACTTTATCTTTTCTTATTCTCAAATATCATGCGCCACTTACTGCAGCTTCTACTTGTTGTGCGTTGCCAATCTTCATTCATCAAAACCCAAAACAACAAAGGAATAGGTAATGGTGTTTTCTTTAGTTTAGTTTTTTAGTTCTAAAGAAAATCCTTTTTCAACTTTTTATAAATCAAATGAGCCTTTTAGACCGCGGATTTTCCGGCTTTTAACAATTTGTCGGTTTATATTCTGGTTTTTCTGCATAACGAACCCGTAACTGTTTCGACTGGTTAAACTGTCCGGTTTATATTCTGGTTTTTCTGCGTAACGAACCAGTATTAGTTTATCTACTCTAGAACCAAATGAACAAATATAAGTCATTAATACCCACCAGAAAAATCACGTGTTGTCATTTAGTTGTTATTATATATATAATTTGTGTTTTATTGCTTTTTCCTTGTCTGAATGCATGCGTGAATGCGGGTACTATGACTGCAGTGAATCAATGTCCGTTTTCTTCGGGATTACTGTTTGATGTACTTTTCTTGTGTCGGTTCAATTTTAAAACATAAGACATTCTCTTTGATTTTTCTAACGTTTTTTTCATTTAAAAAACACTACAGTCGAATTAAACATGTTACTTTTTGATAATGCTAATTTCATTGTTTTTGTGACAGACCATTATTTAGAATGGTTATTTCAGCTAAAGGTGAGGTACCAAGAAGAATTGAGGTATGAAATCAATTATTTTTCTTTTCATTTTTAACTTTTCTTTTGCTTAAAGTAACTTTAATTCAACCAATTTGTTAGAAAGATGGGAAAGTTCAGGCAATGGTTGTATGCTTCATTCTAGGACTTGGGTCTCTTATTATTCTAAACAACATGTGGACTATGGGAGACTATTACTATAAAGTGTTCCCTGTAAGAATCTCATTATTTGTTTGTCTAATTTTGTGTTTTTTTAAGTGTGATTAAGAGATTATTAGTCTAATAAGTTTTTTCTACTTTGAAGAAATATCATCCCGTGCGAGTGTTCACCAATGTTTATCAACCATTTGCATTGGTGGCCACATTGATATTGGCTCACTATGAGGCAAATATCAGTACCCGGATGAGGAATCTGGCGGGATATACAATTTTCTTCGCCTCTTCTTTGTTGGTTCTTATTGTAAGTATTTCTTCATTTCCATTGGTTTTGTATTCGTCTTCCATCTATTTTTCTTTGCCTATAACGAATATAAATTCATCCTATTTGGTTGGTTTTATAGTTAGATCTAGCGACATCTGGTGCTGGGGGAATTGGACCTTATATTGGTCTATGCACAGTTTTTGCTTCTTTTGGAATTGCACATGCACTTGTCCAAGGGGGCGTAACTGGTGACCTCTCCTATATGTGTCCGGAATTCATCCAGGTAGGCATTTCTAATAAATTATTTTCTTCAGCATGGTAAAATTCTTTGATGAGGAATTAACATTGTTAATGCTATGTTTGGTTTAATGTTGAATTTTATAGAATCACATTGACTTTTCACGTTTACAAAGAAACTACCTTTTGGAGCTTCTATAAAATCACAGCATATTGATATTAATATGCTATAAGTTCTGTGTAGGGTTGACAGTGGCCTAATATATCCCTTCTACTCTCTTAATCTTATAATTTTGATGTTATGCAGTCCTTTATTGGTGGAATAACAAGCGCTGGAGCAATAGCCTGCGCAGTCAGACTTTTCACAAAATATTATTTTGAACAATCGGAGAACGGGCTTCGCAAAGGAGCTTGTATGTTATTATTCTTTGTTAATTCATAAAGTTTTGCTTTTCTATTTTAGATTTTATTAACTCCTCATTTTACTTTGCAGTGCTAAGTCTAGCCATCTCAACATTCTGTGAGCTTTTGAGTGTTCTAGTATATGCCTTCTACTTTCCGAAATTGTCTATAGTTAAGTATTATCGTTCAAAGGCTGCTTTAGAAGGAGCAACAACAGTTGCAGCTGATCTTGCTGTTGCCGGCATTCAGACAAACCCACATGTAATTTATTGAAACTTTATCTTACGTTTGGTAGTGTTTCAAAGTTATATTTATATAGCTTGCGTATGTTCAATATATTGTTTTTCCTGTATACTTAGAGATTTTGAACTTTGAGTATAGGCCGAATGTGATCCTAATAAACAAGAGCGGTTAAGCACTAAGACGCTGTTTCTTCAAAACATTGACCATGCATTTGCCTTATTCCTGAATTATGTCTTGACCCTATTTATTATGCCCGGATTTTTGTACGAAGATACCGGATCGCATAGCCTAGGAGAATGGTAATAGTTCATCATTTCACTATCTTTTTATGCTTCCAAGTTTGAAAATGAATTTTGACCAAAAAAAAAACCATGTGTGAATACATGTTTAGGTACCCACTTGTTTTGATCTCTGTGTACAACATCACTGATGTGATTTCATCCTACATTCCCGTCTTCAAGTGTTTGAAATGGGAATCTAGAAAGGGATTGCTAATCACATCTCTTTCTCGATTCTTGTTGATTCCAGCATTTTACTTCACAGCAAAATATGGTGATCAAGGATGGATGATTCTTCTGGTATCATATTTGGGATTATCCAATGGATATCTCACTGTATGCATTTACACATTGGTCCCTAAGGGGTACAAGGTTAGTGTCTTTTTAACCCTCACTATTAAATGTAGAAGTTCATGAATGATTATAATCAAAATATTGCATGTTTACGGTTTTGTAGGGTCCAGAGCAGAACACTCTGGGCAATTTGCTTGCTCTGTGGCTTTTAAGCGGTATACTTGTTGGCGTCTCTCTTGGTTGGCTATGGACAGTTGGAAAAACAGAAAAAGTCGGATGAAAATTATAAGAATAATTCATGAATATTTATTGGTGTATGCATTATCTTATTTTGTAAATTCAAGAATTTTTTTGTTCTCTTAACAATACTCTTCTTAGTGCCTTATTAGTAAAAAAAAAGTCAAATTATGCACACACATACATGTAGGGTTGGTTGAAAAGTAAATTTCCATTCTTCAAAATTAAGATTGTTTAATTTAATCCCGTCTTTTACATCTTAATTTTTTGGTTTAATTATGTTATCATCTTCTAAAATTATTGTATTAATTAGTTGTCAGAAATTTTAACGTGTCCTTATAATTGTACTTGTACATTCAGAATTTTTTTAGCATTAATCACATAAATAACTATGTTTAGGAGAAAATTATACAAATAATCATGTTTCGTAATGTACATCAATGGAGGTACTATCTCACTTGGCGCACTATCTCACTTGGCGCTTTGTTTTAGCCATGTGAGATGGCGCATGCACTATAATATGGGAAAGTTGTTTGCGTATGGTTTGTTGTAACAAATGCACTATAATATGGGAAAGTTGTTTGCGTATGTTTGAGTATACGCACATGTCACAATGACATGAGAGCAAGTCATACGAAAGACTTGAAACTTTCCACAATCGCACCAATAACATGGTAGTATAACCTTATACTCTTGTCTTGGCAACCCCTCATTGTGGCCGATTGTCTCTTTGACAATGAAGTTGTGTCTATGTCAGTCGAACCTTATAACAAGATGAGTGTTAGCTTTGGCACCTTTTGTCTTAATATATTCCATGCATCTTTCACTCTATAGTTGTCCCGATTGTAAGACTGCATTCCATATTTCACCTATTTTTGCAAACAACGAAGTCATCCTAAAATATGTTGATTTCACCAAAGCGGTTAATGGAAGGTTTCATATGCCTTTAAATATACCGTTAATTGATTCGATAAGATTTGTTGTCATGTGGCCCAATCATTGTCCATTGTCGTATAACCTTGTCCATTTCTCCACTGAAATATTATCAATCCACCTACCTGCATCCAGATTTGACAATCTGATCTCGTTGCGATGATCTCGTTGTGATAATGTTTGAATGAAGGTTGTGTTAATGCATATCCCACGTTCATAACTGTTTTCCTAAGAGTCTTGTCTTTGATCTCCCTCGTGAAATTTTGTACGATATGTCTAATGCAGTAGACATGCGTAGAATGAGGATCATGTCAACTATTTGTAGGATTATTATACACACTCTCAATAGATGCATGTCTATCGGAGATCAAACAGAGACCAAGTTGTGGAGCCACATGTGTTCGAAGATTCTTGAGAAAGAAACTCCAAGTACCACCAGTCTCTCCCTCGACTAGAACAAAGGCAATTGGGAAAATGTTATTGTTGCCATCTTGTGCAACTGCCATCAGTAGTGTGCCTTTGTATTTCCCGTACAATCACGTTCCATCTATTTGAATAATAGGTTTGCAGGATGCAAACCCTGTGATGCAAGGTTGAAAATCCCAGAACAGTTGACTGAATATTTCATTTTTGTTGACATAAGTACCATATGGGGCATACGCCGATAATGTTTCCATAATATAAACAATTCTAGGAGAATAAGCCCGAAGTGCATGCAGGTACCACGGTAGTTCTTTGTATGACTCCTCCCATTTTCCATATACCTTTTCAATCGCCTTGGTCTTTTCTAACCATGTCTTTCTGTATAATGCAGTATAATTGTATATTGTAGTGACGTGAGAGATTATGGTTTTCACCTTCAATAACGGATCATTGTTGACGAGAGGTAGGATTTCTTGACATATTAGATCATAATTTAGTTTACGATGATCTTCTGATTGGGTAGAATTAACACATGTGTGGATGGACATAGAACCTATCACCCAACATTCACTTTTAAACCTGTATGATGCAGTGAGCCTGAACATACAATCTGGGTGAACACACTTGAGCTTGTACCTTTCTGGATTTATCCGATCTACCTTAAAATCGACAGAGTTTAACATGTGAGACTTTTTTATAACTCACATACAATCTTCTCTTGAACGAAATTTGTCTTTCTCTTTTAAATTTTCATCCGACTGCATATATGGGTTAAAAATATATCTGATGACGGTTCATCTTTGCCCATGTTGAAGTTTTTCATGTGTGAAAGTGGTGTGTAGATTTCATACAGAGGTATTTCAGGTAGCAAATCATCTTCAAAATCATCGTTGACCATGTTGTCAAACTCTAACTCTTCACCTTCCTCTTCTTCGCCAACGACATCTACTTCTGCTTGTTCGTCTTCGATGGAATCAACCACTTATGATTGAATTGGTTGTGACAACTGAGCCTCCTAGAGCACAATGTACAACTCAATCGAGTCGTACCCAGAGTACTCATGACTAGAAAACATATTTTGAAGGTCCTCGTCATCTTGAACCTCTACCTTATAAAATATTATTTGGTTCACAAAAAAAAAATCGGACTTTGATAGAAGATGTGTGTCACTGAACCTCGTCCAAGTTTAACCTCTAATCATTTTTTGAAATACAAGAAATTATATTTTCTATTTAAACAAAATCGGATATTATCAGTGTCTCTAAATAAAAACCAGTGGTGGGACAAATGTACGTCTCATCGTTGAAATATGCACTGATAACATATTATGGTGTAGATGACATTGTATTTGGTGTTTGAATGTTTGAGTTTTGATAACATTAGATGCATGTAAGATAAATAAGTTCCATTTGCCTTGAACAAGACAAAAATGATCCACCACTGATTCGCCAAGTGAGATGGCAAATTCTCTTAATTTTGGTCTTATTCGCCATCTGGGATGGCACATCCCTACTGGTCATGTCATGTTGCATGCATGTGTATAAGACTATCCCTATACTGCCATCTTACATTGCACCTATAGTGCCACCCACTCTACATGTAGGCATGTCCCACGCCAAGTTGACTGGCGCATGCTCTCTAAAATGCATGTAGACGCCAGTTGATTTGGCTCCAACATGACACGTATTTTACATGCATGCAACCCCCAACCACCTCATTAATTCACTCTTAGGCGCCTGAGACACTTGTTTTGCATCACCAATCATTACACTCTATGATACAAACTCTTTCGTGGTTTTATACAATTTCAACTATGGTTCTTCTCACAATGGGAGATTCTCAGAGACACAAGAGATAATATTACGGCATTTGTAAGTTTCTATAAACTCTTAAATATTCTTTTATATTAATATATTTTTATTAAAATATTATTAAATTAGTCATCTTATGGACTCTTACACTATTTATATTTTCAATTTAGGATACTAAAAGATTTAGAATTCGTTCACACAACTACATTACTCCCGACCTGTTGGTCGTGCCCTATCTAGAATATGTCAGTTTTGGAAATGTTATAAAAATCTCAAACTGCATAATTGATTCCAAGTTTATACTTTCAATATTGGAAAGGTGGAGACCCGAGACACACATATTTCATCTACCAATAGGTGAATGTATTGTCACACTAGAGGACGTGTACATGTTATTGGGTCTCCCTATCAATGGTAAGGCAGTGAATATGTCGGTCCAACAACCCAATTCTCTATGCGAGGAATTATTGGACAAAGATATGGTAGAAGGTAGTGGTGCTAGGGGCCAAGGTATATTGTTAACCGAACTTAAAAAACATTATGCAACTCTTGAGTTGAATGAAAATTTGTTCGAGCTAGCAAGAATAATTAAAACTAGAATTTATATTATGATACTATTTGGAAGCTTGTTATTTCCCGAAAGTACAGGGAATAGTGTAAATCTTACGTATTTAAGTTTTCTTAGGAACTTTGAAAAAACAAGAAAGTATAGTTGGGGTTCTTCTGTTTTAGCCTATCTATACAGTTCTTTGTATAAAAATGCAACAAACGACAAATGTACTTTTTATGGATGCACATTCTTACTCCAAGCATGGGATTGGTGGAGAATGGAGTCCCTAAACCCCGTCAACAACAATACATTCGTTTTCCCATACGCAACAAAGTAAGTCAAGAACTTAAATAATTTATTATTCATCCTTTCGCCAAATAAATGTATAAAATTAACTATTTTTTCATTCCTTTATGTACTGTATAACGAGTATGCATTACGACAATAATCCAAGACTCAATATCGCTCTATATCATAATCTATTGGATCACCTTGGCCTGGATGATGTGTGTGGTACCTTTGAACTTTTCTACTTTTAAATTATTTATTTTTTACGTTTTCATTATTCTTATTAATTTTATCTATAGTTTATCTGGAGACCATATTTGGGTTTGGACCATGAACCCAACCCCGAGAATGCAACAATTTGGACTGCAAAGACTTCAATCATACGATTCAATGTTATGGAGATGCACCACAATGACCATGTCAAGATGCAGTTCATAATGCATCAAGAGATACCATACCATCCAACTTATTTGTCACCCTGTCATCTCAAAAGGGTCGACGCCCAATGGGGTCTTACTAATTGGAAAGACTTTTCTCTAGAATTGTGTAAGATGTGGCATAAGCGTCACCAACATGTCTTATAATTCCCTGTTTTCCTCAACCAGAATAATGTACGACACACAGATCAATATTTCTATTGGTACATATCGATTACTAACCCAGAAATGGACGTGTCTCACCCGAGGTATTTGATCGACCCATGAACATAATGGGCACAACCTTCAAACCCCCAATAACAAACCCAACACATATCAACCTTCCACCAAACACCACAATGATACAGATCCACAAACACCCAACCATAATCACCACCTCAATACCAATACACCCATATGCCCGACAACCAACCCTAATCCCAATCTCAATACCAATACACCCACATGCCCCACACACAATTCCAGTATTATGAACATTCCTATGTGGGTCCCTTATCACTCACCTTAGCTCAGATATAGGCTTTGCTAAAGAATATGACCCAACTGACCCAACTTACCATCAACCACCACATCACCATAGCACGCAACAATCGCAATACCA